GTGCGTGCGTGCGTGCGTGCGTGCGTGCGTGTGTGTGTGTGTGTGTGCGCGCGCGCGTGCGTGCGTGCGTGTGTGTGTGTGCGTGCCTGCGTGCCTGCGTGCCGGCGTGCCTGCGTGCCTGCGTGCCTGCATGTGTGCGTGCGTGCGTGCATGCCTGTCACAGGCACTTGGAGCGTTTCAATGGAATATAATGCTAAATAAATACGAATAAACTCTATATTTATGTGTAAGTGTGCATAGCGTGCAGCAGCGCAGCAGCGTGCGTGCGGTTTGGCTTGTGTTTGCTGTGGCTGGAGCATTTGCAGCACGGCTTGTCGGCTATAATAGGTGAAGGAGGGTAGAGAAACATTAAGACTTTGGTAGTAAATGGATGTCGTATTTATTTAGCATTATATTTTATTGAAACGCTCCAAGTGCCTGTGATGCCTGTGTGTGTGCGCGCGCGTGTCTGCGTGCGCGCGCGTGTGTGGGGGTGGACCAGGATGGGTGTGTGTATGATAAGGAGAGAGAGACATCGAGAACCAAGAGAGCAAGCGAGAGAGTGAGGGACATAGAGCCGTACATGTTTCTACGCGAGTCGACCACATAGGTGTGATGCCCTGTCAAGACATGCTTGTCTCTCCTTCTCCACCGCCCAGCCACTGATAGACTCACCTGTCAGCGCATGCCTGCGGCCCGCTACACTCACACCTGCTGAAAAAGTCATCGCTGCCAGATTTCCGCGTAACCGAACCGGAGAGAAGCTGGTTTTCCTGCGCCGTCGAGCGCGTTAACGATTGAGTCGTCTGTCATCAACGGCTCGTCCCAGCTTTTTCACCTGCGTAACTGATACCGATGGTTCGGTAATCAGTGGGTGCTAATTACTTACCGACATGCGGTGATAGAGAAATCTGTTTTTTCCTTCTCCGCTTCGATGTCTTCAAGACATCTATAGCTGCTCCCAAGGGTGATGCATTCAATACGATGCATAGCATCATCATGATAATAATCACTTTCATCGTCGCCGGCGTTGCTCATGCCATCAGAATCGGCATCGTCATCATCAGCATCATCACCGTCGTCATCATCAGCATCATCACCGTCGTCATCATCAGCATCATCACCGTCGTCATCATCAGCATCATCACCGTCGTCATCATCAGCATCATCACCGTCGTCATCATCAGCATCATCACCGTCGTCGTCATCTGCATCATAATCGTCAGTGTTCACACGATTTTCCCATCTTTTTACGATATGAGTTATCGCAGTGACCGAGTAGTGACGATGCTAACCAAGGTGAACAGTATACTGTCAGTATAGCTATAGCATCATCGTTCAGAGCATGTATACAACGCAGTGTTGCACAGTCCACTCTTCCAATACCAGTCACCCTCGGGACTTTTCATTTAGTTCGGTTTACTGTGAAGCTTGGTTTATGGAGGGGGTGTCTTACATGTCTTAGATGGGACTTACAACGTCGTCCGATTTAACGTGCGATTCAGGTTTGAGGGCGTTCGGAATTTGGAGACTTGAATGTGATAGACTACCGTCGACTGTCAAATCACTACTAAGCCGCTTCACTCACAGCCTGTGCTTCTGAAATTTTAAAATTCGTGAACTGTGTCATAAAGATATTATTTTGTGTTTATTTTTTGACAATATAAGAAGCCTATTTATTATCTGAAGGGTCAATTGGCGTTTTCCTCAATAAGAAATGAGAATTTTTGTGGCATTACTAGGTGGGAAACTAGATCCTCTAATTCGTAGATATACGCGATGATTCCAGCGAGTGCTTGGCTAGAAAACTTTTTGAACCGTTCACTAACGTCCATGGAAAACTTGTAACTTCATACTAATCTGCGCGCTTATGCACTAACGCCTTTTTTCGCACGCGTGTAATCTTCTGTATGTTGTAAATAATGAGCCACGTTAATGCAATATTTTGGGTTCGCCACCCACAAAGAAACCCAAAACTCGTGTAGTAAGCAGTCTTCGTCTTGTTTTGCTAGATTTCAGTGGCTATAGTAATCAACAGGGAAAAATAGAGAAACGAGATTTTTCTGGGAAACGGCAGCAGCATTACCCGAAATTTCTAATCATCATTCCCTAATACGCGAATCCAGCGAACCATACCCGCAATATCAGTCTCACTAGTTACGCTCATATCCCAATATCAAGGTCATTGGTGAAGTTTGCCTCAATACCAAAGTCATTGGCGTGTCTTTGCCGCATCCTCTTACACATTCGTGTGTCTCACTCGCAACCCAAATATGACTATACACAGTCGAATCCCAACGTA